ATCTCCAAGGATGAGCCTTCCTCTGCTYTGTGTGTGCCAGCCAAGCCGTGACTTGTATCCTGAACACCCTGCAGAGTCCTGAGCCYTCCCGCTGTGCGCTGAGGCCCTACAGCTTGCACACACAGCACCTGGATGAGCAGGCTTTTAACCCAACAGGGCACCACCAGTCCCTGGAAAGGAATCATCTTTGCTGAGAACAGTGGAGCCAATCTTTCTTTAAGTACTCCAAAATGCAGTTGATAGAGCATGGTGTGTTTCTACCAAAAAGGAGCTCGTTTTGCTTAGGCCGAAACACGTGCAAAGGCACCCCGGGGTGCTGCCCGTCTGCATGAAGGTGCTGCCGAGGGATCTGATGTGCTTTTCCAGAAGACAGGATTCATCAGCTTGAGCCTGATGCAGTGCAAAGACAGCAAAATCTGCACGAGAGCACTGCTCTGAGAAGCAACGCCTGGAAAGCAGGGAAGCAGAGGTGGGGGCTGCGGAAACGCGCCTCAATGTTCGCAGTAATAAGGAGCCTGGCTCATGCAAACGGCCTCGCAGGGCTGTGACTAAGCTGTCGTTCACGGTGTTTACCAAGACATTTATATTAGCCAGAGAGGAACTGCAGCACATCTCACTGCCAGGTACGGCAGAGCATCAAGAACAGAGGATTCGGGCCTTGAAAGGAGAGGCTGTTTCTGGAGTAACAAACAGAGAAGATAAATAAAGCTAACCTTAAGATTTAGTAAAACCTAAAACAAATCCTTAATTACACATACAAGTTTAATTCAGTATTAAACATGAGTACTCCTAGAGTTAAATTTGAATCTTATTTATGTCATAATCAGAGGCACAATTCCAAAGGCAGAAGCATTTCCTTAGGTTTCCTCCTTTCCACAGGCCCCTCCACACACACTCGAACAAGCCAGTGATATAGGAAGAAACGGCAGAGGCAGATAAATGCTCCAGAGCTATAAAAAGGTTGCAAAAGAAAAGAACTGAGAAATACATTGTGATGCATTTGCTAAATTAAAAAATAAAATAAAATAAAATAAAATAAAATAAAATAAAATAAAATAAAATAAAATAAAATAAAATAAAATAAAATGTGCCACTTTGGACAACGAGTCATATACCTGGTACTGACAACTAGAAAAATGCATTTAGGAAAATCCACACTTGCAAATCTTATGCAATTCATTCTCATCATTTCATCAAAAAAATCACAGTAGAGGCAGAATAAAACAAAAATCTACAGCATTTTATGTTGAGGTTTTCACCTATGCATACGATGCTTTGCTTTTTCATTTCATTGCATTTTATTAAAAAATATTTTTTGCGGCAGGATTATGCTTTTATAACATCAATGAGTCACTCTCCAGGTGATGAGTCGTTACCCAGGAGATTGATGGAATCTCTCTTGTGATCACACATCAATTTTTAACATGCAAATATCAATTTCAGCTACAGCAGCTCTGCTTAAAACTTTACGGTGGCAGATCAGCAGAAAAAGTTCACCATAGATCATAGGGTATAAGGCAAAAGAAACAGTAAGAATCATTCTACGTGAGAAAGAAGCCTGTTTCAACCACGATGAAGAGCTTTAACATAAGGTTCTTGCGGGCAAGATGCTTGAGCTACTGCCTGGCCATGGCACTGACTGAACTAAATAGTCATCAAGGGAGAGAGCCAACATCCCCGTGCAGCAGCTTGGCAGAGGATGAAATGGAAGAAGAAGGACAACAGAGCCAAAAACAGTGCCCTAATGCTCAACTGCAAACCAGACTTGTTTTTTTTTTTTCCTCCTCAAATTAGTGTAATCAATCACCTCAGGCAAACAACACACTGTTTACCGGGCCATTAAGTAGCTSTATATACACCAGGATTAACTCAGCCTTTAAGAGGCAAAACAGGTCACAGGCACTTCTGCGAGGCCTCCTAGATCCCAAACCGTGGTTATAAACATTCCCATAACTGTTTATGCCTAACACTGCAGCAAATATCTTCCAGAACACTCTTGTTCTTTGCTTTAAAAGCTTGGGAGGGAGACGGAGCGCAGTATTAAGTTCCCTCTTCGGACATTTCTGAAGACAGCAGACGAGGCCAGAGGAGGCCTCCTCACCCTGCCCACATATCGACACGCAGCACTCGGCCATCGCTCCCTCTGCGGATGCTGCCAATGTGGTAGCAGAGCAAACCGGCCTCCATCTGGCCTCGGTTCAGACGGGTCGGGCTGATAATCAAGCGGCCGAGCGCGGCTGCTTTGCCAGCCTGAGGCGTCCGCCAGCAAAGGGAGACTGCCAGGCCCCAGATGGCTGGGCACATTAATAAGAAATGCAATTCAGTCAAGATGCACACAAAAACCCTTCACTTTTTGTGAATAAATGATTTGAGTAATTTTCAATTTCACTGTTTTCCAGGCAATGGAATATATGGGACCTATAATATGGCTTCTAACTACTTTTAAACCTGTATTCAGGCTTGAACACAGGTTCAGGCTTGTGAGACCAAGTTAATATTATTGAGCATTGTAGTGTGTTAAGCTTTTCATTACAGCTGGAAGATAAAWATGATTTCTGACTATGCTGTTTCCATCTCCTATGTCCGTATGTATCCCACTCCTTACATCAGGCCACATTTTCAAATGCAAATACCGAAAAGTTGCTCTGATAATAATCTGATACGTAAGCTGAAGGCCTTGTTGATTCTACAGGTGTTTTTTGATTACCAGCTCAGTAACAATAACAACCTATACTGCCAAGAAAGTCAGGTTTCCAYTTGCCTGGGGTTTCTTTGGAGGCAAGTCTAAAAATAAATCCAGATTCTGCGCTTATCAATTGTGAACGTATGTAAAATGTTATTGTCAAAATAAGAGAGAGGCCATTTTGGAAGCACCAAGTATATAACAACAGAAATTTGAAATAAGAGAACTTTCTAACTTAGCAGCGACAGCAAGCAAGTGGAATCGAAAAGCATCACTAAAAAGAAAATAGAGAATGTTTATTTATAGTATTTTCCATTACACAGTAAATGACGCCAAATCAGATCTGAAAGTGTTTTACAAACATCAATGTAAAATGCCTCAACACTGCTATTACAACCAGCAGAATTACAATCCCAAACTTGTTTTTAGCTGTTAAAAAAAATCAGAAAGATTACAGCATACATTCATGACTTTAATATACACTGAGATGCGGAATGCCATAAACACTGTTCTAAAATGGCTGGATCATAAAAAGCAGTTGGCCAAAATTCATGACTCATTTCAGCCTCATTAGTGATACAACATGGTCTGCCAAACCAACGCTTCACCCTTTGTCTGAAAAACCAGAAACGAGCAACACCACCAACAAAAATGACCCAGAAAAAGAATAAATGTGAAAAAATTATTAAAAGATGTTAATTGCGACTAGTGTTCACTGTCAGAAATCTGCTAGGAATAWTCCTTCCCATCTCTCTGCAGAAAAGAAAGCAGGGGCTCCGACTCAATTTAGGAAGAGTTCATTAACATGCACGTTATGTTCAGACCACTACTGTAAAACTATGTTTCTACCTCCCAGTCTCAAGCGKAGCCCGGTTCCTGACTGCAGTCACATAAGACTTCTCACAAGCAGCTATACAACAACATACTGTCAATGTACCACAGAAATTGCTCCAGAATTTAAGCTATTACGTACATGAGGCAGCAAACAAAATTGAAAGCCAGAGATCTTAAAAACCATCTGCTGAAGCATAAAGTTTGACTGAAAATTAATACAGGGTCCAAACATTCCAACTTTCCAAAGTAAGGTCATAACTCCCCCCAAAATAACCAGTCTGGCCAAAAAAACATACAGGTAATTAGCTTAGTTATCAGTTAGTTCAGATGGATCCTCTAAATAACGTACCTTTCAAGAGGCATAAATAAAACACAAATGCAACATTTCTGGGGATTTTCATACACGGATAAAAAAATTCATTTCAAGTACTAGCAATAAAATGATCTAACAGAAGATAGAGGGGGGGGAAACAATTTGTTTACCAGCCAAAATTACTTTTTACTCCACAGAAATAAACCCTTCTGGGTGGTGTCTCTTTGAAACACTCATTAGGCACTGGGAACCTAAGTATCCTTAAGCCATCCTTATACACTTCTCATTCTGGATTATTTCAGAGGTCATAGATGACTTCCATTTTACCTCAGGGCTCAGACACATCACCCCAGGTGTAAAGTAAAATAACCTAGCTTGTATTTGGTATGAACTGAACAACACATATAGTTCCTGCAGATGTACATTATAGCAGACYCATGGCAATTAATCACTGCACAGTGAGCTGTTCCCTATCTGGGTCTCTAAACAAAATCGGAGAGTCCATCTGCAAAAGTGCAGTATCTCCCTAACCCCCTGGGAGGTCGGAGAGGATGAACCACTTTTAGACTGTRAAATACTCAAATATTTATTATCTTAGAAGCCACATATGCTACTGAAAGAATTGAACCTCTTCCTGTGGCTTAGTCTCTTAGCTTATATTGAAGAAAGGGCAAGCAGCAAACTGTTTCATCAGTTTCAATACTTCTAGGACTGCCACATGAAGTTCTACTGTGTCTGAASCCCATACAAATAAAACAGAAGTTTTACACAGGAAAAAATATTTCTTTGTCTTCTCCTACTTCTCCGCCTCCCTAACATTTTGAAGAACGTTCAAAAATCAAGCTGCTTCCAGAAATGTGGTTTCTTTTCTCCTTTTAAAGGGTAGTCTTAAATTTGGAAGTAATAACATTTGAAGAGTATTTTAGAAAAAAAATGTTACAGATATTTATTTAGAGAAAAATCTTACAGAATTTCYGTGCAGCACTACTGCAGCTTTCGGGATAGCTGTTTCTGTATATAAAACTTGTCAGAACAACAGCAACAAATAAGCAGAAAAAATGAATTTAAGATGTTGGACTTATATCCATAGGACCAAAAGTTCTCCGCATTATATAGTTAAATAATTAAATAATACYATTCTAACAAAATTTCTCCATTACTCTAACTTACAACTGATCCTGCAGTTCCACAATGATATATTCCAGCTGTTCCTTCTCCATTTTATGGGCTAGATCCATATCTTCAATTCTTTGTAACAACAGTTTATTCTGTGAGACAGATTCAGACAGCTGATTTTCTCGAAGTCGTACCAATTCTTCAAGGTAACCCTAGAAATAAAAACGTCAAGAAGCTTTAAGGAGCACTGTCAAAAAAGTTTTCATTAGATATGTTCATGTTTTCTGGCTTAAGATGCATACAGTTTTTTTTTTTTTTTTTAATTGAATTACTAAATTAACTTAAGAAGAGTATTGTGTTTTTTAACAGGCTCTGAGAACATCATGTTCTTATTACTTGGTCATCCATGTTCCAGAGGAGAAATGGATTAATGAGTGAAACACTGAGACAGCAGTGGCACCAGCATGAAATCCATTGTTAAAGGCTCAGTCTTCAAAAATAAACAACAAAAAAACAGTCACTGGCACAAGAAAAAGAACAGAACTCTTTTACTTTTGTATCACATCATGAAAGTTAGATAGTGCTTAAGGGTAAAAGATGAATGAATCTCTACTGTTAATGAAAGAGATCGAGTATTATCACCTAAAAAAAGAGAGTGAAAAGGGAGCTGCAGTACCAAATYAAAATGATAAAGAATGTAATTATTTAAATGAAGATTCATATGAAGTCAAGTATCAAGTAGGAGAACTGCTGAAGGTTACTTCTTTAGCTGACATGTGTAACTGGAATGTGCATGTGCACTTGTGCTGTCTTTTTTCTCCAGATGATATTATAAAAGATATGGKGCAGCCCTTATTACATGGCAAAGACTTTTGTCATTTACAAAAGTGCATAATGTGGGCATTTAAACAGCAGCTGTGATAGTACGTGATGTATTTCTCAGATTAAATATCTAGTCACAGCACAGAAAAGCTATTTCTTTGTTTTCTTCAGCATAGTCCCAGAATGTCAGACGCTAGGAACTTCCTATTAATACAGTAAGTATGTGTATTCTGCAAAATTTTGAACAGCCATTGAAGCTTTCAAGAAATGTTTAATAGTTTTTAAAGTATATAAAGCTGCCTACATTTGTTAAACATATTATTAATAAATAAATAAACAAGTAGCTTACATAGAGTCACAAAGTCCTATGTGTCCTGCTGAATAAGCAGCCAGATGTCACATTTGCTGGTCAGGGAAATGCCAGCAACATAATGCAGTGCCACAAAGATGATTAACTGACCAGTGCATCTGTCACACGAGGAGGGGCTAAGGGCTAGGACTATTCAGCTTAGAGAAGGTTCAGGGAGACCTTATCAACCTGCATAAATACCTAACAGAAATGTGTAAAGGAGACAGACTCTTCTCAGGGCTGCCCAGTAAAAAGACAAGAGACAATGGGCACAAATTGGGAAAAAYTGGGATACTGGAAGTTCTGGTCTAAGAGAAACCTCTTCACTGTGAGGGTGGTCAAGCACCAGAACAAGCAGCCAGTSAGGGTGTGGAATTTCCATCCCTGGAGATACTCAGAACCCAGCTGGACATGGTGCAGAGCAACCTTTTCTAGTTTACCTTGGTTTGAGCAAGGGCATTGGACTTGATGAACCCCACAACAATTCCTTGTTTTTATGCTGACATATAGTTCTGTCCCCACTGGATATCTTTACATCTGATAAGAATTGATTTTGGCCTCAGTAAAAGTTGAAAGGAGTTTTGAAAGCTTCTCAGTATACCTAGTTTAGTCCATGCAAGCAGTACTAAGATCTTGACTGTTAACACACTGCTTACAGCTCCAAGTAATGCTCTGAAAGAACTAAATGACAGAACTATATGAAATTTACAGCACATCTAAATATACTGAAACTCAAAACAATCAAATAAGCACGTAAAAAAAAAAAAAAAAAAAAAAAAAAAAAAAAAAAAAGGATGGGTAACATTAGTAACAGAGTATTATGAAAACACCTGTATCTATAGTGATGTGGGAGATGTAGGCCACTAGAGAAAGCAGGTGAAGTTCCACTATAAACACGACATAAAAAATATCACAGAATCACACAGTTTAGGAGTTTACTACATCAAAAATGAACAACCTATACAATTCCAAAATAAGGAAGGAATGACTTCCATGTAACTAGAGAGTAAACTATGATTCATTAATCTGGCCAAGACACAACTTGGAAATGGCAACTTGGAAAAGAATCTCCTCATKTTTCGTGGGTGACATGGAGGGTGCAGGAAGGAACTGACTGTTCATCTTTTTTTGTTTTTTTTTTAAAGTACAAGAAGTTGGCTCAATGAAACGAAGCCAACAGGAGCCAGCTTCAGAAGGAAGAAGAAGAGTCGGTTCTTCACACAACAGATGGCAAATACGCAGAACACATTTGGCCAAAAAAAAAATCATTTGGATGCTAAAAATTTATATGGGCTCAAAGCAAACTTGACRAGTTTTTGGAAGAAAGATTCATTGCAGTTTAGTAAACTGACAAACCCTATCAGCTTCAGGAAGTCCCTGAGCTGATGTGGGGTGGCCTGGAGAGTACTGGAAGAAAATATTACATGAATATTTGCTCTACTTTTRTTCTTAYCTGGAAATCTGKTTTTGGCTAAGATACAAGATCAGTGAGCTTGAGGATAGATGGATTCTTGAGCGATCCAGGTCTGAACCTGTATAGCACTATTGATCCAACAGGAACAGTGCCAGACTTTACCTTACTACAAYAGCACCAGATTCCATTCCACCATTCAACTAGCAGAAGACACAGATACACCGGATTTCACCTGYAACCCAGGCACTTGGTATATCATARCCCTGGCAAGCATCATTCAGTTATAGTGAATTCATGACTTACTTTGGAGGCATAAAAGAAATTAATGCTTATGTGTGCGCAAAGTGAATGACAATTGGGGAAAGGAAAGGCATATCAGACTATTGGTCACTAAAAATATTTTTTTTTCATCTAGTTTTCCAATATACAATGTCAGAAAGTCTCTCGAGTTTGAAATAAAATGGTCTCCCTCTGATGAATTGGTACCTACTGCACCGAATACAACTCAATTGTTCACAATTTCATGACAATTATACATAATTTATTGCCATGAAAAGGGTCCTGAAAAGCAAAGGAAAGAAACAGTCAAGAAAGGAGCTCTACCTCTTAGTCCATCTTTAACSCGATCTCTTTTTTTTAACTCATCTCTTACCTTCTGCTCCAGCGCAAGCCGATATTTCTGTTCCACCCTTTTGCATTTGTTGTACCAACTATTTTCATCCATGATGAAGGGAGGACCAATGTTCTCTGGCGTGCTGCCTTCACTGCCACTACTGCCCAGTGTCCTTAGCTCTTCTTCATCACTGCTGATGCTGTCGGAACTGAAAGATCACCTTTATAAGCCAAATGCCAAACTGTATGGTTCAAAGGTGTAAAATTCCCCTTGAAATTAGCATACAAACTATTCTTTAAGACATAAAAAGCTCTGTAAAACAGTAAGAACTGGAATGTTCGTTAGAATCAACTGCCAAATAGAACTTATATTTCAAGCATATAATTGTATAGCCACCTAACTGTGAAAAAGATGTGTTTATCTGTGGTCTAAAGGGTRGAAAAACAAACAACTGTGTGCTGGGAATAACTCTGTGGACTATGAAGGGTCAATGCACTACAGTTTGCTCACTACGGAAGTAGTGACTAAATCTTTCCTTCACAAATTCAAGACAAACATTAAAGCCTGAAAATAAATTGTATTTGTTTCTAAAAAGGCAGAACAATAAAAAGCGGATGTTATTAYATTAAATCATGAAGGAATTTTCATGAGAATTTATGGCATGGTTTGAGCAAAGACCATGTACCTACTGTTTCACAGAACATAAATATATCCCTAGATAGCATGCAGATTTACTATTAAAGTACCTCCATATCTTTCCAAATCAATTCCATAAAGTTCAGACACTCTTAAAGCCCCACTTTAAATCTTCCTTTATGACTGTGCTTTCCACTGCATTAACATCATTCACTAGTTTTTAACTAGATGCCTGCTACTGCATGATTCTCCTAGAAGTATTTACACTTTACTAATTCATTAGAGAAAAAACACAGAATTTTTCTATTCCATATGTATATGTTGGAAGTGGTTTTTTTTTCTTCCATGCACCATGTACATTAGCCTTCATTATAAGGTTAGCAGGCAGCTCAACAATTTAAGCCTAAGAAATCCAACTCATTTTAAAGAATGAACCAGTGATTCTGTTCTTCAGCTACCTTTTAGTAGCTACCTTTAGTAGCTAAGCACTAAGATGATGGTCCTCTGAAATTTGTGTTCTATATCACAGTGCAATGGAGAGACAAATTTTCATGGCAATGTTGGGTTCCACTTCTGCAACTTCCATTACTGACATAATGTATGAAGTTCTGAAGTGATGCTGTTCTACTTTAGTGAACCAGGCAATTTGTCATAAGCGAATCCCTGGCAGCTCCAGAGAGGATGTTTCACATTCAGCTGTACAGCCTCAAGACTCCTCCTAACACCAAATGCTTTCCCCGATGTCACAAGCACAGAAGGCATCCCATTAACTTGCATGGTTTTTGAAGAAACTGAATTGCTAAATGTAGAGTATGGTCATCCTTCCTATTATCAATCACGTGGCCAACTACAGAAGTAAAATGCAGCTGAAAGGTTAATTACATACAGAACTGCTATGATTATCTATTACATGCTAACTTGCTCATTCTGTTCATCTGTCAATGAATACGTGCCTATACAAGGGCACGAATACAAAATTCACAGCAAACCAAAAATTTATCTGCTCTTGAACTGCAGATTTTAACAAAAGTTAGCATTAAGTTTACACTTTAATGAGTCATGTGATAACTCTGTTATTGTGAAACAGCAAAAGGTAGCTAAGTATATTGATTTGTATTTAGAAATGGATAATATCATCTTGGATGTCAAACGAATGGTTAGAGGCTAAGGATAAAGCAAAATCTTGAAACTGAAATAAAAGAAACAGTTGAAAGATAAAAAATACCTTTGGGTGAATTTCAGATAGGGTGTATAATCTATGACAGCTGGAAAGTTGCCATCCAATCCTTCACCCTTCAAGCAAAAACTGATAAAATAGAGAAACAATAATAAGATTCTATCAAGAAAATGAAGAGACAATGATAGCTGAATCTTACCAATATGAAATTTGCTTTTTGTTGTTAACAAAAATTAAGAAATGACTTCAATATTTAATGATATAATTCTACCCAGTCGAGATAGATTGTTTAATATTAAATAAAAGTCACTGCTCACATTATAGGGTGAAAAAATCCCAATAAATAGAAATCCTACGTGATCAGGGTATAAATCGGGTAATTGATAAAAACCCTGATTATTAAGTATTTGCTTTTACTCTGAAAACACAGATGGATTGCAAGAGAATAACAGAAGAAAGTTAGCTCAAGCAAGAAAAACGAGGAAAAATAGAGCAGTGGGTGAGCTGGGGAATGTTAGGGAGTACTAGGATCACTTAGAATGAAGTGGTTGCAGAGCTCTCATGTAACYGTCTCCCCAGGTCCCCAAAGGATTTCAGACTCTTCCTCTTTTCAGATACTTTCTGGTGTTGGGCTGCAGGCAGATGCTCAACATTTTAGGAGCTAACATTTCCAAAACGCTCTTAAATGGCTGTAGCTTTAGACAGCTGTCATCTAGGTTGTGTTCTTTTTGCATTGAATATCAAAGATTAATCATGCTTAAGTATCACAGAAGTGCCAAAATTAATTATGATGCTACCTGGCTCAAATTCTTTAATCTTTCTCTATCTAGCACCACAAAGAAAAAAAAAAAAAGGAAAAAAAAAGTTTCTAATAAGAGCTCAGTAACTTAACTGAGAAGTGTCATTTTTGCAGTAACTTAAGTGGTATCTGAGAAAAACACACAATTATATTGTGAAGGGAAAAAAAAAATCATATTCCCAGCTTTGAGGGCAGGACATTCCCCCTACAAATCCCATTTACAGTTCCACATACAGAAACCAATCTACATTTAGGGAAAAAAACATTAGAACTGAAGATAGCATCGCAAATACGGAGTGCAATGAAAGCCTGCATCTTCTCCACCATTCAAACCACAACACAATAAATTACACGTGGCATAATTAAAATGTTCCTGTAGGGCTATTTTGCCAAGAAATTTTCTAGGCTCTTAAGGGTTCCACTGACAAAAACTTAAACGTCTCCAAGGAGGACCAGCTATTACTCTGAATACGATTAAGAGTCAAGAGATGCCTATAAATTTGCTCCTAATAGAAATCACAGGATAAAGAAAGAGCAAGCACAAGCACAAGAGGAGGATTAGAACCACTAACTAGGCTCTTTTACAGAAAGGACGCATTGCTGAGGCTCAGAGGAGACTCACACAGTTGGGGTGTGTGGTAAGGTTTCCAGACTGCACACCCAGTCTCGTTAGGCTGCTTCTTCATGTATAGTTATACTTCTTCTAGGGACAGTGCTAATCTGCAAGCAGTTTAATTTCACACGGGGTAAAGCTTCGATTAATAAAATCTGACAAGAGTTGAATTTGCTGCAATCAAGCTTAGCTCTCATCATTTCTGCTCCTCTAGGACATATATTAAGGATGCAGTTAAGCCAATCAAATAGCTAAATGCTGGCAAAAGAAGCTATCCTGCTTTATTACCACCAGGCTAAGTGGACCGATGCAAGCATATTGACACGAATATGCACCAGGCAGGTTAGACCTCTTCATCTGCACTCTAATCTTTACAGTTTGCTTTTCAGACTCATAACCCAGATTTTTTATTATTATTATCATCATATGCCTGCATTTTCATTACCATAACAGAGCACAGCATTAATTATGTAGCAAAACACACAGAAGTCTAGCTAGAGATTTCAAAGGTGAATTAATCCCACAATACTTTGCAATTGTAGTTACTTATAACACACATGAAACCCATTTTAGTTAATTCTTTAAAAAATTTAGGACTGCTAAAGTTAAAAGATACCCACCCCTTCTCTATATGAAACTACAGTGCTACTGTTGAGTGCCACTGCACAACACACTATTTTCCTTAAAACTTGAAAATATTTTGAAAGATTGAAATGTCTGTAAGTTTCACTAAATATTTTCTGTGATAAAGCTTCTGATAGTCTTGCCCCCATGTATCTATTGTCTTGAAAATACCRTAATCAGTCAGATATGCAAACTACCATGCAACTTCAAGATCAGTGACTCCCCTCCCAAGATACATCAGTTTTGTCTCTCAAACTATCAAGGCAAGCTAGCAGCGATTTCCATAATGCCCCTGCTTGAGCATCTGGTTAGGAAGCAGGCAAATTCAATACCTGAAATCAATTGCATTGAGTCCCAACAGCATGCCAGCAAGCATATTCGCTTCTTCACCAAGAACGATTGCTCCGTCTTCATAAAATCTCCTTCAAGAAACAAACAAACAAAACCCCAAACTTAGGACAAAACGTTGTTGAGTGAGTTAAGTAATATGTTTTTCTTTTCATTGTATCTGAAAGCTGAAGAAACCAAGACTCATAGAAAAAGCCCATGTGGAACTCTTGAGGGAATTCATATTTCATTTCAGATAAAGCAGACATATAAACTACATAGCATAGAATACAAAACATAGAATAAACAGTCAAAAAAAAAGCAAAACCAATTCATACTATTAGCCCTAAAAAATAATAGAAAAAGATGAACAAAATGCAAACAAAAAAATGAAGATATCTTATATGCACTGCTGAAAGGATGAACTTGCACTGTGTAAATTCAAAGAATAATTATACAATGATAATTGAAAAAAAATTGAAAGTTATTGACTTGAAAGTCATTTCAGATTTCAAGTCATTTCAAAATGACTTGAAAGTCATTTCAGATTCAACATTCATTCTGATTTTCACTAGCAGATTAGAAGATTAAATACAAATATAGTCAGAGATAAAGAAAAAAAAAAAGGTTTAGGACCCCATAATGTAAGTGAACTGATACAAATTCATTATAGAGAAGAAACTTATTCAGAACAAAAAAAAAAACTTTTGAAAAAGGAGGAATAATTGCATGTGTGCATGTGTATCACATATTACACCATGCAGACTGGAATTCCCTCTGTTTACAGGCCTTTCTTAAGTCCCTTCTTGTGCATCTCATTCAGAGATGATTGATGCAGATGTCTTAGCCCTCTTTTCTAGCTGTGTCACTTGGACACCAGCTGTACTCAGACCTTGCTGCTGGACCTATGTAGAGGTACTGGAACAGCTCAGAGCTCACCTAAGAATCAGAAGAATTGCAGTGGCCACTGCCACTAAAATKCATCAACAGACCTCAATAAAAGTAAATCTATGCTCACAGACAAAACTACAGGATGTAAAAAAATAACCAAAAACTGGTGTCCCTGGAGATTTTATTCTCCCTGCTACAGGARCCTGCTCATGGAATAAATTAGGACATCTACATAATATAACAAGCAGGACATCTACCTAATGTAACAAGGATTATCTGTGAAAGATCCAAAGCTGTCCTTTCTTTGGGTGCAGTTTACTTGAGGAAAAAAAGTGAGAATGAAGGGTGAGCAAACACAGAGAAGTTGRCACTTTCCTGGATCACCAGGGTGCCAACAATTACATGAAAATCTACAAACTGAGCAGGTTCCCACATAAGGGTGCTCATTTCCACCACTGGATCCTACTCATGGAGGGGATATGAATTTATGAATAAGGGTAAGAAAGGCATTGGTCTCCTTAGCAAAGCAGCAAACAGTTTTCARTTCCTCTTTGAGGAGTCTTGGCAGCAGCAGAAACAGAAAAATACCACAGAAGGCCCATAGAGAAGAGAGAAGCAGGGGTGGAGGGWCAGTCAACAGCAAAGCCAGGGAGAGGCCACTCCAATAGTGAGATGTAAAGGCCACCTATACAGTCCATGTGGTAGTTCAAGCAGTTGCCAGCTTCCTGGTGACAACTTATTGTTCAGCCAAACAATGGAGAAAGGCTGTCCCACCAAAAGCCCATCCATCTGATGGATTGCACCAAGCTGTGAGGGCACTGAGGTGCCTCAGGGAGCGCCGGGGCTGGCGCCTGGGCAAACATCCAGAGCAGACACGTTGTGGGGCACAGCTCCAAAGACTGTCTGGACTCCGTTATGCCGYACACTCTCAGAAGTCCTGTTTTTGCAGTTGCATAACAGACAGCCATTTCCTGCATGGAAGCAAGATGTCCAAGCCCTTGGGCATTCACAGTGAAAACAAGGGATGGGGGAGACTTCCTCCGGGCCTGCTCTGGGAAGAGAGATATTGAAGAGCCCTGGCACTGAAACTAGGAAATACTGACTCAGCTTTCTACCCCTTCACTTCRCAAAGGTACCGGGGAGCTGCACTGGCCAGTGTCAGAGATCAAGGAGGGAGCAAGAGGCACTTTAAGGCTTGGTTTGTGACCTGGAAATGATGCACCCTGCACAAGTGGATTACGTAACTTTCCACTGACAGTTACAAAACCCTGCCAGGACCAGTCTGCACTGCTGTTCAGCATAGCTTGTAAACGGGAAGCGATCACACAAAAAAGGGTAAAATACACAGAAAATGCCAACATGCAAGAGCTGGTCCCACAGTGTGCACGTTTCCTAAAGGACCTACAGCAGTGCAGCCAAACCAGCAGCAACCCTGAACACTCACAGACCCTCTCTGAGTGCTACAGAATTTGAAACTGCTAATAAAAAATAGCACTGCTATGCACTAATAAACAATCTAAACTACCAAACAGGTAGAAGGAATCCACTACTTAAGTAAATTGCTTGTGACTCTCCTCTTCCTCATCTTCCCCTCAAAAACCCAAGTAACTCTTCTGTTTGAGGCAGCTGAAAAAATCTTTACCAGAAATAGCTTCTTTGATTTACGAGCTTCTTGTTTATTGTAAATGCAAGCAAATCTGGATAAAATAAAAAAGACAAGTCTRGGAACTTAAATAAAATGGGAAGTTTACCTAGTTGTGTCTCAAAGTCATCTTAATATTTGGAAAATATCATGAGATCTGTGGACAAACAGCCTTACAAATAGAAAATAATAACCCAAACCAGCAGAAGTCATTACAGAGAAAAGCCTTATTGTTTAAATATTTCACTGAGGACATCTAAATCTTTTGCAGTTCAGAAAGATTTGAACCACAATAAGTTACAGCTGGAGCCYCAATCTTTAATTAAACGACTTCATCACAGATCTATAAGATGCCTTTGCCCTAYGTTAAAGCATCATATAATAAACAAACATGTTCTCTAGAAGCAGTCCAAAACGGCAAGGATATTTTCTATCACAATGAATATTCATGYCCATAACAGTTTCAAACATCAGAGGGAACAACAAAATATACGCTACACATTTTACAGATTATGATCTGGAATCCTAGCCGTGCCTGATCACCAATTCTGTTCTGTGTGTCTCAGGTTTCTTGGAATTCTCTTCCTTTCTGSTTCAGGAAAAGTTCCTATAACTCTAAAAAGGATTTTTTTTTCTGAGGGCTCTAGGGCTTTTTACCAACAATACTTAWTTTTGAAAGGAATATTATATCTTCTAGCCATGTAAGGCTACAAGTTCAAAATTAGTTCCTTCTTTAGAAAGATTATGTTCTCTTTTAACCTTTCAAGAATTCCAGAGAAATTTCCACATTTTTTGAAAAATCAGAAAGGATTACRCAACTTGTAATTTTACCTGGATTAACATCTGATTGATTAATTATATCCCTCTTTTACTAGTTTACATCTCTTTTACTAGTWATACTAGTCTGGCATAATTCAAGTGAAAAATTCAAGTGAAAATCCTGAAGCTACGTCCTTTATTTTGCATAAATACAAGTCATAGAGACCTGGTTGTTTTGAAGTCTCTCAGAGCTGTAGAAATGTATTCAGACAAGTGTTTTTCCATAAGTGCTACTCTGATCCAGGCTCGACCCTGAAAGAAAAAGCAGATATCAAATATTTTAAAATTTTATAGAATGTGACACTTCGTGAATAAAATTGATCTATCTGGATGAGATAAAYCCATTACCATATAACCACAATACAGAAACTATTACTGAGATGTACTTCATTATAGAAATAAAAGGATTATGGTGTTCTTAAAAATACATTTTATTGTCAAATTACATTCCAAAATATGGAGAAACACAAAGCAAGGCTTTTGTTTTAATTATACTCTCCAGCCTTTAAAGAAACTCAAATGCACAAATGCTTGCAGACCAGAACAGGAAACTTTTCATTTCAAAGACAATGGTATTAGAATTGACAAATCCTAYACAAGCAGCTGTAAACCACCTAAAGGTGATTTAGGTTAAAAATGAATTCACTGCATGCATTCATTTAATCAATGAAAAATAATTAAAAGACTATTTATAACTCAGCCATGCATTTTGAGTAAATATTCCACAGCTTTAAATTTTCCTTGGCAGGGATGTCATGATAGAAGGTATGCGTTATTTATAGAAATGGAAGCAAATCTAAAAGGCTTAACATTTGCAGTCCAAAACCAAAATTTTATTCAAACAAGCCCTACAAATAGCAGTAATAACTTTGAAAAATAACCTTTAAGAGTGTATGTTTGCGCTATGCATATACCTGACAGGTCTAGTGCACAGGATTACAATTTAAAAGCATGAGCCATTTTAAATGTCTGCCATAATCTTAAATGTCATTTTTGAGAATGCCAGGAGCATCTGTAATAGCTTATATAAATGTACATAAGCAACAAGTCATCTTCTATTTARTATTTTTGGTGCTTATTGGCATCTAGCTGAGTTATCAATATAAATATACCACCAAAAGCAGTAGACTGCAGTCATAACTCTAGCTTATATAGATTTTGATCACACTGAATTTATAATAAGAAAATCAATTCTTCAGTTGTCTCGGGTATGGACTGCCCAAATATGCCCCTTTTAAGAAAATTGGACATCGCTCTGCATGCTCATTGCAAGAACTAGCATATTTGTTTATTATTTCATTCGGCAATTTCCACAGAGGAAAAGGAAACTTGAAATTATCTATACGAATAATGTACAAAATAATTTTATATCTTATTATTTACTAAATTTAAATACTCATAACTGTGAAAATCTGAGAACTCTGAAATACACTAGATGTATTTTAAAGGTAAACAATACACTTCTCAGATTCTCAGATATGAATCTCTGCAGAGACTATTTGATGAATAAGTTCTCCAAATTAGCTGAATGCAACCAAGAGGGAAAGCTGTATGACTTAAATATCAGTCCAATACTCCAGTAAACAGAGTGTTAGGAATAGCACATAATATCCTGAATAAAAATAAAAATAAATAAATAAATAAATAAGCATTCAATAGCTTTTGGCCATGGAGATCTCTACTGTCTCAAAGTGTTCCCTGACATTATGGCTGCAGGTGCATTTATGCATAACAGTCTATATAAAATAAGCAAGGAGCAACAGCTGACAAGGCAAACGAGCTGTTCTGCAATCCTATGAAGCATCAGAATGGCTGCTCAAAGCGCTAGTAGATTGGAGGTCTTTTCTTGCATTTCCCAAAAATTATGAGTTAGAAAATGGGAAGGCAATTATTCTATAATAAACTATAGTCAATGACTRCAGAATTTGAGGTTTATTCTACTGAACAATACACATTTAAAAGAAAATATATGCATGCAGTTGGCTTTTTTCAAGAAAAAGGTACAGATCAGAAGATAATTATTTCAAAGTTATGAAAATTTGTGAGGTAAGATAAAAATACATTTTAACTGGGAACAGAAATGTCGGCTACATTTTACGCAGAAGAAAGAGTATTGGAAAATCAATTTGACCTTTTTCTTCCCTACCTTAGCTCTAGAAGAGCTGACATTCTCCATGTTCTCAATGCTGCAGATGCAATCGTGAGAGACTTTGCGGCAAGCGACTCGAATGTAGTCCCAGAAGCTACGAGGACTTTCATAGCCAAACCAGGTGATCTGACCTTAAATCAAAACACAAGATACGTGAACATTCATGAACCTCCCTCCCTGTTTGTTAGAAAATAAGTACACATAAAAATTAAATAACGCTGCCCCACACTTCTTTTGTGCTGTCTACAGAGACAGGGCTCTCATTAGCARCCTTACAAATTCCTACTGAAATCTGCCTATGCAAGTAGAAGTGACTTGCATTGCTCAGCTCACCTTGAGTGGAAGCCAATATGAAAACAGAAGTTTGGGGCTTTTGTGGAAATGTGCATTTTGTTGTTTGCCTTTTTTCCCTCATGAATATGCTGTAAGTCCTCAGAGCTCTTCACAGGACTTTTAGGTCACACTACTGCACACACTGCTGTGATTCAAAACGAAGAGGCAAGACACATTTCTATTATTTGTTTCAGGTAGTACCATGTATCTCATGTACAGATAATTTTGTTCCTTTATAGTTTCTTTAAAGGCSAGTTTGTTATGCGGAGGGTAGCGGCATCTTTATTATAAGGGCAGATTTGGAACTTTACACAATGGCCTTTCRCTAAAGGAGAACTTGATGCTTGATCTTGAACTTTTCCAGCCACAATTTACTCTAAAATGCACATGGAGAAGCTGACCAAATCCCATCGGGTAAAATCAAYGTATTTTCTGGAGTTTTAGCCAAAGACCTTGGGGACTCTCCCAGCCTGGAAAGGGCTGTGGTTTTGGCTCCCTGAAGGCAGAGGCAGTGCTGCTTGYGGGGGCTCCCCGAAGGCAGCGCCTCCCAGCCTGGCCAGCTCGCCAGTGTGACCCAGCAATCCTTGAAAGCGAGGAATTTTGCTCTGTGGTTATTGCCATTACAATGTACAGGCAAAAACTCTTGTCCTTGTAGAATGAGATCTTATYTGTAAGTTATTTGAAGTCTTGAGTTTTGTTCCTGAAGGTGTGCTAGTTTATCAGAAAGACTTTTATTCTCTTACCATTAGAAAGCTCAGATTTCTAGGAAGAATATTAGACTGATGATGACAGTAAAASACCAGAACATGATACTAAGGATCTCTTTGTCTTGCGTGATGTACCTCAGCTCGCAGCACAGCCAGGGCTGYGTCACAGCTGAAGATCTGCCCCTATTGACCCAAGAGAGTCAGGGCATCACCCCTCTCTCTGCTCCCAGGGTACTTGCTACTTCACTTCCTGACCCATATTTGCTTTCCCACACATATTTACTCAGCATATTCAAAGCTGTACAAAAAAAAAAATGAAGAAATTAAAACAAGACACTCAATATCCCAAAGAAACCAAGAGTTGCAGCATTACTGTACATACTTTTTCAGCTTTGGGGACCAAAAAGAGAAAGAAGTCTTTTTCTATAAGGTAACTGCTCTTACAAATCCTTTTTTTTTTTTTTTGAAACATGAAAGATCACGGCCAGCAACAGGAATTCACTAGCATTTTAAAGATACCAAAAAAAAAAAGCTACTGATGTTTGCATATTCTTAATTATATCGGAAATATTTCTAACCCAGATTATACCTTCAAAATTAAATGTAGCCTCACTCTATAGTTTTCTGAAGCCAGTAGTAAGTGGCAAAGCAATTCCGTTTACCAACAACCACCTGAAAAGCACACGTTTAACTCAGAAATACCTTTACAGAAGAAATATGTAACACTGCAGGGAACTTGGCTGGCTTACATTGGTGAATGAAGCCACTGGTGCTGATGACAGGATATGCTCGGACACAACCCTAGGCTTTAACCCTGCAGAGCTCCCCACCAGGGCCCGGTGCCTCCAGCGCCAGTTGCCTTCACTTGGAGCTCCTGCCACGCACCAGGGACCTCTGCATCCCACTGTTCTCTCCCTACAGCTTTCAACCTTGCCCACACTCGAGCAGCCAGCCCCATCTGATGCAAAAACTTCCTTAATGATCCAATACAAAGGTCATGGGAAAGACCGTTAGAGAATAGAGTGTATTTTAAAAACTGTTACATAAGATATTAAGCTGTGTATTTCCTACAACTGGAAGCGCTTTCAGTGTTTGAAAATCTGCTTGGCCCTTAMTTAATGAGCTAAACGTACGTAGCCACAGGATGTCAGAAGAAATGAAAAAGCTAAAATTATACTAGATTTTAAGGGGATCACAATTAACTTAGAACTTATTGTTTAGTATACAACTTATACTGTCAGTGATCTGAAGGAAAGAGTTTCCCAAAAGATCCAAGCGGCAAAGAGCACATGGTCTTTGCAATCAAGTTTTTACCTATCATCACAAGATACAAAAGCTTACACAGTTGTTCCAATAGAAATGGCATAATTGGTTTTTTTTAGTCCATCAAAATTGTTAGGTAAATATGGAAGCTGTAAATTTAATATCAAATACTKTTCTAATGAATGCAACTTTGTAGCATAAAAATAAAAAGTGAATAGAAACAATATTATGAAATTCTGCATTTCACTACATTTTTCAATAGTTATATATCTATTATTATCAGCTTACTTCTGCTCCGAGATACAGACACCTGCAACACTATTTTTCAGATCTTTTTTCTACTACCAAGAAACTCTGCTCTGTTAAGACACTAAACAGTTTGATCCCTGCTCTTTCACAGGGCAGTTTCCGATGTAGAAAGCAAAGCTCTGCAGCTGCAAAGCCCTAACTGCCAGGCTGCTCTTAGGCACAAGCAGGTGTCTTCCAAACTTCCCAGTACTGTTATTTTGTACACAGCAAATATAGCCCATTCTGCAAAAATAAAATTTAATATAATTTGTTAATAACAATTACAATATTTGTTAATAGGATGATACTTCTTTGAGAATTTCCTATGGTACCTACTCTTTATTTCGGGTCTGCAGAATGAGTCATTAAAAAAATACAATAGCTCATAAACCCAGTCTTCCAAAGCAGTTATAAATTAGTTTAAGATTTTTCCTCAGACAAAATAAAGAAGAGCGAGCCTAACAACAAATTACACGAGATCCCTAATACCCTAATACTTTTCTTCAGAGAAGTATTTGCTCTTCAGAGCAAATAATAGTAATAGGGTCAATACAGATCTAAAAATATTAAATCTAGTAACAAAAGCGCTTCTGCTTAGAAGGGCACTTTGCCATAACACTGTGACAACCAAAATCAAAAGGGCTCTAAGAACTGCTTCAATTTGGCCTCTTCTGTGGGAATGGTGCCTTCAGCTCTTACTTCTTGCCCTCTCCCATCCCACCTGCATCATCCCAGCTCTTTCATTCAGCAGATTTGCCTCGGGATGAGCAGCATTACAGGCTGCCTCTTATGCRCTTAATGCAACCCTCCTTCCTCTCCTATGACCTATCCCTACAAATGCAGCTTCTCTTCTGCAGATATAATTCATATCCCYTTTTATTATGTAACCACTGCTTATGCTTTTTAAAACATTACATTAATGAAAAAACCCTGGGCACTAGTAACTGTTATTAATAGTTATTTCTTAAGAAAGAGGGTCTGTGGAATAGCAGGCAACAATATGATTTTTTCTTAAATAAATAAATAAAATGAAAATGCACAGCCAGGGATAAGATGTGCACTACAGACACTGTCTAATTTAGTAATTCATCTTACTATGGAGATGATAGTGCGAGGACTGAACAGAATTTATTTACCAGTGATGTCCCTAGTATGGCCTCTCCCATTAGTGCCATTGGATTATTGATGACCCATAAAATGAGAACGTTTTAAAGAATGAGGAAAAGGGGAGAATTATTACATTTATCCTCCTACTCAAGCAGTGCTGACTGCTCTATAAGGTTATTACTAACAGTGAGTTTTCTAAACTAAAAAGGAAGAAAATGTGTCAATCACTAGCAAATTAGGAATAACATAGATGAAAGATGGACAGAGATGGGCAGCTTGCTTAGACAGCTCTAGCAGTTACAGGGAAAAAAGCAGCACACACAGTTATTTAAGCATCAAAATAGCAAAGTAGAGCATACTCTTTTATGTCATCATGGTGACAAATGCCACTGAATGTGCAAATGACAAGAGCACCCTCAGTAAAAGAATGACATGCAAAAATTACAAAAATCATAAGCAAAGCACACTATATGATATTATTGGTCACAGAGTTTAATGTATATTTCAAAACGTATTTCTAAGCCTGAATACTAAATATCGGTGTGGATAAAAACACATTTGCTGTTAAAGATATTATAATAATAATAAAAAAAGACACATACCTACATATGACAATAGTTTAACAAATAGTTTTGAGATGGCGGCCAAAAAAATCTACAGTAGTTACTAATGTCACTCAGTTAATTGAAATTAACTTTAAGTGATAGACCACAACATAGAAATTAAATTTCTGGGTGGAAAATCATACAAGGTTACAATGCAGTAAAGTCAATACATGCATCAGTTTGATGTGGCTTCAGATTTTAAATTAGCTAAGATATGTCTGTGATCGAATCCCAGATAACATTACTGGACGTTTTTTTTGATGCCCCAGCTACATTTACTCAGCTGATCAGATGAAAATAAACAAACATGCACGCTCTCACAGGTAACATACCCAAAACTCTGTCGCCAGCAGCCAAAGCAAGACAGCTACAAGATAGGGCTTAATCACAACAGTACACAAATAAGACAGGAAAAAATTACAAGCAAAATTACGAACAACTACCTGGGAAAAGAATGATTCTCCTAAAATTATCTACCAATTAAAAAAAAAAAAAAAAAACACCAAAAAACCCCATACTATTCAGCCCTTCATTATAAAGCCATGCCAACTTTTATTCCTGATCAGAAATAAATGAGCATTCCTCTTCCTTTCCCCTGCCTGTTCAAAATTCCTCTATTGCTAGTGCAGCAGTGCCAGGTTCTGCCAGCAGGCGTGATGCCAAACAGCTTATTTTAAGGGCAGGAAGGGTCACCTACCCTCATCATGAAGCATCTTCCACAGGATACTTCACGTGATCTGTATTCACAGGAAGAGCCAACGCTTCAGGGCAGCAGCAGGTTTGCTGCACATACCCTCCACAGCACAGGGATCATTCTCTCCACTTCCTACAGTGGCAGCCAAGGGCTTGCAAGCCCTGCAAAAACAACAGAGCTGACCCAAACCCTCTTCAAAACAGGCTGTGAGCCAGACTGTGGCCTATTCCTCACTGCCCTTTTAGCCATGAGCAAAGAGAATCATGAAAACATTATGGGTGGAACGACCTTTGAGATCATCGAGTCCAACCATAAACCCTTCAACACCATTCCTGCTAACCCATGTCCCTAAGYGCCTCATCTAGATGTTTCTTGAACACAACATAGAGGTTAAGGAAAATCATGGAGAAGAGAGGAGAAAAGAAAAAAAGAGAGGGAGGAAGAGAGAGGGAGGAAGAGAGAGGGAGGAAGAGAGAGGGAGGAAGAGAGAGGGAGGAAGAGAGAGGGAGGAAGAGAGAGGGAGG